AGGGAAAGATGTCTAACATATTTTAGAAGACAAATATTTCGTGTATCAGGAAAATAGATAAACCAAGGATAAATCTGACTGGAGATGCTGGGAGTGAGAGGAAGTGGCCCTGCTGTTTACATAGCATTGTTTATTTGCTGACATACGCAGTTCATTTTGGCATTGATTTCAGTTGAAGGCGTGTGTATTACTCTCTCAGCTTGAAGTGACACAATGATATCAGAAAGCAACAGGGATGAATGAATAAGGTGAAGTGATTTGTCATCTACGATACAATGCAACTTGTGAGTTTTACTATTACAGTGCAGGGCAACAACCTCTCACAAAGCGGCGAACTGTGAAAAATGGGGCTATGCATGTCCTTTTCTGTGGCAGAATTTTCTCCTTGTCTTTTAATTTTGACAGTTTTACTTAGATACAGTTTAATACTAAACGATATGTTTGAAATTCTAGAGGGTGGACTATTTTCTAAAATGGGCCAAAAGCCTGAAGTTTCCCTGTTTTCTCTAAAAGAGGATGACCAACCGATGTGAAATTTTACTTTTTTTTTAGTGAATTTGCTATGCAGCTTCTAGTTTTGGCTCTTTTTTATGTATTTTCAGTAAAAAACCCCATCTGAATCTGGTGAAAAGCAAGCAAGAAAGAATTGTCTATGTGAAAACCTTTGATGGGAAGATGGCTGTAACAGAATGATGTTTGTTTGCGGAAAAAAACCCCTATTTACACGGTATCTAAAAGCTTATATATGTAATTCATGGAGATTAGGTGTAAATAAACCTTAGTGCTGGAATCTGGGAGCCTGCCAACCTGAGAGAAGATATTTCTGTGTTGAGTGTGCTATGGACAGGTAGTTTTTTGTTAGATTTTTATTGTCTCTTTAGTTTAGGCCACAATATTCAGTATAACTACAGTGCTTAATTCTGGCTGAGAATTTGGGGTAATTATTCAGGTGATGGATACCAAAATTCTTGATGTTTTATTTTCAAAATGTGTGTGTTACAGCTACAGAGTTAAGGGACTAATTGCAGATAGTTGATGGCTGCAGAGGCTCTCCTCTGAGGCTCAGGGACTGGGTGTTTCAGGGAGTGAGACCCAATGCCAAGTAGATGCCTAACGCTGACCTAAAAATGGAACTTGCAGGAGTTGCTTATGCCCAGCTCTGTAAAGATCCCCTCCTCACTGCTCTTGAGCATTTAAGCATTTAAAAATAGACACTGGGGGGAAAAAAAAAATCATACAGAACAAAGCTAAGTTAATTTTATCTTGTTCACTTCCAGCAACTGAGGTCAGTTACTTACACAGATTCCTTTGGGATTAGAAGAGGATTTATTTTCATTCTTTCTGTGTTTAGAAACAGAGGAGGAAGAGCTGCTGGTCTGAGAGGTGTTTGTGATGTTGGTCTCTTGGCTGAAGGAGCTGTTGTCACTGCTGTGCCGCCGGTGCACAGGCTCGTCCAAGAGGGGGGATAATGGAGGAGGAAACAGCTTCTCTTCTCTTTTCTTTGCCACCTTCTTCACTGAGCTACCGCTGCTCCTGGGACACAGATAAGAACCAGTTGCATTTCAAGAAGCTTGGTTAATCCGCCATAGCACAAAGCTCTAGATTTTATTTACTGAGAAGCCAGCTCTACCCTCAAATATGTCCTGCAGTCCCCATGTCCCAGGAGCTAAGTCAAAAGGGGACAGGCAGTGAAAACAGAAGAGCTACCTCTGCCTTTTCAATGGCTGCAGAAACCTCCTGCTTTGGAGGACAACTTCCAGTGCATTAGTACAAATTGCACCCAATTTAAATGCTAATTTGAGTCAGTTTTCATTTGAGAGGTCATAGAGGTTCTGACTCAGCAAAGTGCTAGAAAGTTTTATGCATGGGGTTAGTTCCTTTGACATCAGGTATGGCTATTTATGTGTTTAACATTAAGCATCTTTTTAAGAGGTGGATTAGGGCCCACATAAGCAACCTTTGGAAAAAAACCTAACAGCATATTGCATGTGAACCAAAAAAAAAATTTATAACAACTACAAAATGATAACCATAACAATAACAAGATAATAATTATTTGACCTCTAGAATAAAACCAATGTTCAACACTATATTAAAATGATACATTGTAGCTGGCAAAAGCCCTTGAGCAAATATTGGTTGATGAATTGAACGTGATTCAGAAAATGAATGTGGTTTTGACATGAAAGCTCAAGTAATATGAAAATCTATTGTCTGTTTTATGTACAGAAATTGTTAGCTGGCTAGAAACGGCAGCTGTGATACACAGTAAAAACAAAAAGACCTGCTAGACCTTTCTGCCCTCAAATCCATCAAAAAAGAAAAAACCAAAACCGACACCCCACTGACTGTTTAACATGTTAATCTACTCATAGATTTTTATTTTAGGTACTGTCCTAGCTCAGTCAATGAAGATAACCTGAATTTTAATCTTTTGTTAGACATCTAATATTGCACTACACGATCATTTACTTTTCATGATTATTGACTAAAATTTCAATAACAAATTAAGTCAACAAGAATTTATGTTTCGTTCCCAGTCATTTTCAGTCAGTGTCAGAAATTATAGATCTACTTTGCCTTAAATTAGAAGGCGGCAACCCAAGTTTCCTTACTCCTCATTCTGGAGCTCTCATTCCAGTCTTTTGCAGTTTCACCAACAGCATCAATATCTACACCTGCTTTGGTCAGCCCCCTACTTTGGGCCTTTGGTGATACAAAAATATTTTAGCTTATCTGTGAAATCACAGTGTGAAATCAAACAAACTCCCCATGTTTCAGATTTTATAGCTCTTCTACTCAAAACTATTTTAATTTGACTGAAGCAGAGTTAAAAGTATCTTATTTGAAACTCTCTGATATTAAAGATCTTCAGACTGAAGAAATAAAACGAGCACAGAATTCATATTGCCTTACAGTAGGACTGGTATGGATGCTGTCCTGCTCAGAAAACACAAGGGCCTGGAGAAGATCAAAGGAAAGCAACCGAGTTGGAAGAGGCTGGCAGTTCTTCGAGGAGACTGATTTTATGCATATGTGGTCCTGCAACATGTCCTCCAAAAAGTTCTCACTCAAAGCCCCATCTGTTAGCTTTCTTACCCCCAAAGGGCATTTTGGAACTCAGACAAGTTACTTTAGCTATAGCACAACAATACTCTGAACTTTTTCCAGAGGAAAGTTTTCCAAAGGAGGATGAGCACTACCTCAAGAAAACATGTATGTGTTACTGGATTGTACAGAGGCAAAGCAGAGACAGGTAATGAAATACCCAGGAACAGAATCCAAAACCTCTGCCTCTCAAATGAGTGTCCTACACAGGGAACCCTGAACATGCATATATGGGTGGGAGCACGGACCAAAGTGATTCTCCGTGCCTCTGTGCACTGAGCCGTGTGGAGCTCTTCTTTCTCCGCGGCACAGCTTTGCAAAGGGAAGAGCAACCGAGTCGGGCAGATCTATCTCAAAAGTGTCTGAAGAAAAACTGAATGTGAGCCATTGGCCAAGTCCCCTTTAGCATCTGACCCTGCACCACTAGTGAGGTTCCTCAGCACATCCGTGGCTATTTCCAGGGCTAATGCAAGATTCTCTTGCTTGCACCTACCTGTGGTCTACTACCACTGCTGCATGGGGAAATTTAAAGCACATATAAAGCAATCGAAGCAACATTCCACAGCTGCTACACAGAGGTGGAGGGATTAAGAGAGTGTACAAGAAAAAATTAAGAAGGCTGCAGGTACCATGGCTAAAACTTCACTAATTAAAACTTCACCACTTAAAACTTCACCAGTTCACTTCATCTTTGGGCTCAAATATAAGATTGGGCAAACCAAGATATAGGTGCAGCTACTCAGCTCTGGCACACAAGTCATTCTGTGGGTGGGAAGACTTAACCACAAAGGAAAATGCATTTGAGGATATTTAATTTCTACATAACTCAAATTAAAAAAAACTCCAACAACACTTTACAGTTATAATTCCATCTTTTTTTTTTCTTTTTCTTTTTTTTCCCTATTGCCCACTTAATCCTGTGAGTTTTCACAGGAATTAAGCTGATAATTTATTTAGCAATGTTACCTCCCTCAGATTTACGCCAAAGCATTTATGTTAACAATAACCTGCATGAAATAGGTTGTTACCAGCAGTTAACCAGATTGTCACTTTGCTTTGGGCTGTTAATGGGCTAAGAAACTGGTCTTTGATTGCAGTAATCGCTAATTTTGAATGAATTTATTGCAATAATTACTGAGACTCAATGGTTTAATTTGCTGACATGATTGTTAGTTAAACTATATTTAAAATCTAGGGAGAAACACAATAAAAGTGCAAGGAAAAAATACAAGCAGAACTGATGGTCTTGTGGCTGCAGGGTTTAATCTTTGTGTCTGAAAAGGCCAATTATCAAGGAATGAGAAGGCTCCCCATCTGCTTTTTTTTTCAGCCTGGTTTCTTTTCGGGCAGCAAGCAAGCAAGCAAGCAACAAGAGGTCAGTGTGTGAAGGAGAGAGAATTTCCATCTACTCTCACATTTCAAGCTGCCTTTCTTTGCCCTTTCTTTATTCGCTCCTTGTGGTATGCAGTGGTATCACTGGCCTATTAGTGAGACAAAGCCATTGTCTATACCAATCACTTGGCTTTCCTTTGCCTCTCCTCTCCCTGTGCACAATGAAATGCCGCACATTGACGGTGTATCTGATTTTCTGCAGGGCCTTAGCAGGGAAAGGTCACTCCTGCATTAGCTTGGACCATATGGCAGCAACTGAATGAAGCTGAAGTCATTGTCATAGACGGAGGAGGCTGCCTCTGCCGTGAACGAACCTCAATGAATGCTCTTGTGACTACCCAAGGGATCGGCTAATATATGTTGCCAAGTACAGGTGCATCTTTAACTAAAGGTCAAACAAAAGGGAACAGGAAATCTTGAAAAACAGGCTGAAATGCTTGCCTCAGACAGACTTCATGCCTGTTAGATGGCAGGCATGTTTCACTGGTATGAGTCTAGTTTGAAATTCAGACTCACAGTTTGCATCAGCAAATAACTCTTTGTGTTGCTGCAAACTGCCAAATGTTGGCGAATAGTGCTCTGTCTGGACTGGGTCTACCAATCAGGTATTCAGATATAAATGTATGTGGCAGCAACTGAATTACATACAATTAATGGTTAAATTAAAATTGCTCTGGCAAGCAAGTAAATACATAAATAATCCTCTGCTGCAAAGTGGGCAGCTGATCTGACAAAAATCCAGCCTCACAGCAGTGTTTCACGGTATTACTATGAATTGCTTGGACAAAAACCAGTATCATCTATTCCTTCATTTGCTATGAAATATCAGAAATAAGGAAAATACAGTGGCAACAGTTTGAATAATTATATTTTAAGTGTCACGTCAGATTTAGGAAAAGGCTTCAGCCCCAGAGTGTGTGAGGGAAGGAGCAAACAGAGAGATAACTATTTTCTTGTGCAATGACTACGTAATACAAACTGGCTCTTTGGTTGTGCAAATGGCTCTTAAGTTCACAACTGACCATTTGAAATTTCTACACTTCAATTGTTCATGTAGTCATAGAAACTTGTGGAAATTAGGCATATAATTGTCCATACTAGACATGTAACCCTTGAAAAATTAATTGTGCATCTTTGCT